TGGGATGTCACTTACAGTAAGTTCATATGCGAGTAAAGGCAGGTGAGCAAATACTTTTGGCAATGTAGAGTATCTCTACCTCCCCATATCTCATTCGCATATTTACCTCAGGAGGCGAAGCTCTGCCAGGAGTGTAGGGTTTTGTGCTGCCTTTTCTGGGGTAGTCTGAGATGCCTGCTCATGTTCAAGCCGCAGCCTGTGAATCTCTTGTAAGATTTCCCTGGCATAGGAAGAGAGAATTTTTTTAAAAAAAAATGATAAGTATGATTTTTTTAATGATAAAAGTTGTTTAACGCAGATCATTGCAAATAATGTCAACTAATTTGAGATATTTATGAATAATCTTCTGGATCTTAGTGAGCAAATCATAGCACCCAGAGAACCTTTTAAATGTTTAAAGCTGCTCTTCTGACAACCAATCCTTTGCCCTCCATCTGGGAACTCTTCAAAAATTGCCACAGAGGTAATTCAAGAAGTTGCTGCCTGAGACCAACACTGCAAAAATTGATCAGAACTAGGGCTATCAATCACCAGCACACACATTAGAACGACTGAGAATTCTCTCTAGTCACTTTGCAAGGCTGAAAAATTAACTATTATAAGATAAAAATGGCTGGCTACATTCCTAATATGGCACTAGATCTCATGGTTTCTAAATTGGTGCCTTAACCACTATAGTAAACTGGTTATATTGTAATATTAGCACATTATTTCTCCTTCAACCCTGCTATTTTCTTTCTTTCTCTTGCCTTATTAAACCATGTATTTTCTGAAGAAAAGGGACGACAGATTTCTATCACTAAAATCTTAAAATGTATATTTTAAAATATTAACTCTGTAATAATGTCATGGCAAAGAAAAGAAGTAAACTCTTCTGTATGATGGTCACTTGTAATATATCTGTGGGTTTCCTTATATGCAATATTGTGAATTTTGCCTTGATACCAACTATACATGCAATATGTTTTATCCACAGACATACATTTGGCTTAATGTAGGTTTTGGGACTTTACCTGTTCTTATTTTCAAGTTCTGCAATAAGCTGTCGTTGTTGCTTATTTGCATCAATAGAGAATGAAATATCTGGAGTGCCTCTTTGTTGTGGTTGCTGTTGTGGCTGCTGTAAAACAGATCGAACTTATTATCACATATATGCAAATGAATATATTAAAAGGAAGAAAATTGTAGTTTTGTCCCTTAGTATATCTAAGTATATTGTCCATAAGCATAACGTCATAGCTAAGTTCCTGGTTTCAAAATTCACTTTAGCTGAGATTTCACACTATATATTTAACAAATATATAATTTCTCTCATTTCACCTCTATGGTAACATAGATGATAATAACCTTGCTTGTAATTTACAATGTAACTGTAAGAACTGGCAAATTTTAATAGAAATCTTATTCATCTACAATAAGGGTAGAACTAGAGTGTTTCCATAGAGATTGTGAGCTAAATAAAACATATTAGTATTTAATAGCAATAACAATAGCATTTAGACTTATATACCACTTCACAGTGCTTTACAGACCTCTCTAAGCGGTTTACAGAGTCAGCATATTGCCCTCAACAATCTGGGTCCTCAGTTTACCAACT